CTCATCTGCCATCCCCTCCGCCCCAATACATGACATTACTAGGGGAGTGGGAGACTCAAGAAGTTTAAATGCTCAGATTACAAAAGGAGGGTCTTATAATAGCCCCTGACATGCCTCCCATAGGGCTTTGCCATCCACCCCCCTCTCTCCATAGTGGACTGCACTAGTGCATGTGGCAGGAGAGAGGGTTTCATTCCCCAGACCACTCCCGTATCATCGTTCATTCTAGTAAAGCTCTCCAAGGAAATACAGCCTTATTTTTAAGTCTCAGTGGCGATATGAACCACTTCTTGCTACCAAGAAACTTTCACATCCCACCTACTCTCAGTAGGGAGTGGGTTGAGGAGAGAGGATGGGCAGGGCAAGGGGATCGGGGTGAGGGTGGGGTACCTGGAGACCCCCAACCTCACCCCAAGTGCTGGCCCATTTCTCACCTCAGCAACTTTCACATCCCAGATCTCAGTTCTGCTCTAGTCTGAAATTACTGCCTTCAGAATATTAAGACTTCTGTTAATAAACTTGTAGTCACCTCAATACATGCAGTAGCCAGACTTGGATTTTCCTGGCGGAGAGGGCAGAGGGGCAGGCATTTGTCTCTGGGCATCGTGCTGGGTGTCTTCAAAGCCCAGAGGGAGAGTTGGCACAGTCAGGAGTGGGCCTTACAACGAAAGTTCTTCCCAATCGTAGCCTCACTAAACATTTCTCATTTATTTTACTGTTGGGGCTGTTAACATGTTATGTCCTTCCCCAGGCATTCCACGTGGGGCGATGGGAGGGACCCTGATGGGGACCATTTTTACACACCATTATGGCAGGCTTCTGCGATTCTTAGAGATGTTATGTGATCAAGTCCAGCCCACTGGGGTCTATCAGGTAGAGCATCTCTCATTAGAATTCTGATCTAGCAGCAAAGGGACGGGAGGGCAGCCTCTGGGAGTTCAGGGGAAAGCCTAAAGGGTGCCACGGCTAAGGAAGCCCAACGCTCTGACCCGGCAGACTGCAGGCTCTGCTCAGGGCTCCAAGCAGGAAGTTTAGCTACAAGCTGGTGTAGGTGCTCCTAGAAAGAGTAAAGTGAAGACTGACAACCAGGAAATTACAGCCATGTTCCCAGAACTCACTGGTGAAGGGGTTTCAGGTCTCACCAGCTGAACTGCCGTCTGGGGAGGCCAAAATTCACCAGGCCCTGGGAGGTGCAAGCAAGGGAAGATGGTCATTTTGGGAACCACCGGAATACGGTCTGCTCGATGGACTGAGTGAATCAGGAGGGGAATGCACAAGAACAGAATTAGGAGGAAGAACCTAGAATGTTGGTGGCTCCCATATTCTGTATTAAAAGCCTGATGCTGAAAGTTGGCAGAAGATAGGCTGGATCCCTTTTTGGCTGAAATGTAAAACTTTCTAGGTACAGAGGAAGGAAGCTGAAAGAATGAGGCGAGGAAAAGGGAAGACACAGGAACGGAAGAAAAAGGAGTCAAGAATATACAATGAGGGTCAGAAAGGGAAGGAAATGGGTATAGTTAGATGTAAAATGGAAGAAATGACAGTAAATGGAGAGAACCGGAATGAGAGAATAGAGACGAGAGGGAAAGAATAAACACAGGAAGTGGAGCAGAATGAGAGGAAAGCTTAGGGAATTCCAGGTGGAGTCCTAGCTCGCCAGTATGTAGCAGAAGAAAAGGCAGAGGGCGTAGTAGGCCTGACTGAGGGGACCAGTGTTTTGTCAAGACCCCGTTCTTGCCAGTCTGGCTTCCTCCTCTTTCATCTCTTCCTGTGAATGCAGAGGTGCCGCAGTACAAAGGCCTGGCACAGGGGGTGAAGTGATTGTGAGGAGAAATAGTGAATTGGGGAAGGGGTTGGGGGGCTAAGGGGAAAGAGAGGCACTCCCTTCACTAGAGGAACCCCATCTCTGAGCTCTCCTCACCCATCCAACCACAAAAAGCCAGGTTTTACTGAGACCAAATCAGGTTTCTCTTTATTTTTGTCTTCACGGGAGGTTGAGGCTTAAGGAGTGGTCCAGGAACTTGGATTCTAAGTGCCCGTGAACACGTCCCTGCCTGAGTTCCAATGTTTTTTGGGTTTTTTTTCCTTCCGTGGATATTTATTCTGGAAATACCTTTACTTCTTCTGCAACACACCCCAGGCCAGGTGCATGGGTCTCTGCCACAGCCTGGGTGATAACTGATTGACATCTGTAATGTTACCAGACAGAGACCAGGTCCGGAGCGGGTCTGCCTCAAGCCGGCTGGTAGTATGTGGGTTCTTGACTTTGTGCAGGAAAGATTTCACAGCATGAGCCCAGGTGATTCGGAGAGTACATTTATTAAATGTACTGGGGACAGTGAAACAAAGGAGGCACTTAGGTTGGGAGCAGCAGCAGAGAGCGCAGGCGGTGCTCTGCTCTGGCTCCCTGGAAATGCTCTAGGAAAGCAGTGAGCCTGGGCAGGGCTGCTGTTGGCTCCCTGGGAAGGGAAGGTCACAGGTGACAGAGTGAGCCTGGGTGGGGCTGCTTTAGCTCACTGGGCCGTCAGAGAAAAAGAGGACCTTGGGGACAGGATCAGGGGTGAGCCTGGGATGACCTGCCGCTGCCCTTTGCTGCCCTGGTGCAAGTCCCTTGGGGACCCTAGAGTTTAGGAGAAAGGAAGTAAAAGGTTCGTGCCTGAGGCGGGCATGGTGCGCTCCCGAGAGCCCACGCTGGCCTGCTTTGTCTTGAGGGTTCTCTCTCTTAGGTGGAGGGTCCCCAGCAAACACTCACCAGCTTGTCAAGTGCGGCATCAGAATGAGTATATGGGGAGTTTGGGATCCTTGGTTGGGTTTACGGTGTTACTTTTATCTTGGGTCTGCCCGGCTCTTACCGGGTTTTTGTTATTTGTTCCCAACTTCATCCGTCCTTGGGTTTGGCGGGCACACGTGGCATTATCTGGGTCTCTCCTCTATCTCCCTGACCAGGTGACTTAAGCTATTTATTCTCTGAGCAGGAAGGAGAGGTATTAACCATTTGTTCTCAAGTATCCTTGTTTAGGGAAGATAAGGTCTATGATTCACTGGCTGGCTGTAAATCAGGCAAATTGTTAGGCATTGTTTAATTATGTCTCAGTTTCCCCATCCTACTTGCCCAGGAATTTTCCTAGCTTCTTACTCTCTTGCCTCAGTAAGTCCACGATAGTCCACAAGCAGGTATCCCTATGTACACCTATGCCCAGGGACACCTGGGCAGGAAGCACAGCTTGGGGGAGGGGGCAAGAATGACTAGAAGGGAGGCAGCAGTCAGATTTGCCCTCGGAAATCTGAGAGCAGGGGTGCTGCCTGAGACCTAGTCATGAGGTAACCTTGTGTTTTAGGTGCTCATGTGGCAAAGAGGGACCCCTTGGACCAGATCCTGTGTGAGGTGACCCAGCTCAGGCCCATGCTCTAGGTTTTTGTGTGCAAGTGGGTGTGCAAGGGGGCGGGGGAGGTAAGAATGATTAGGTGTTGTGTTGGCCAGAGTCGTCTGTGAGAACATATCAAGTAGTATGTATCATGCGAAGTTCATATGGGCAGTCAAGCGGGCAATTGGCTATGAGTATGGAGCCAAAAGAAGGCTAGGTTGGAAATATAAATCTGGGAGTCATCCGTTGTATTTATTTAAAGCCACGGGACCAATTCGATAGCCCAAGAAGAGAGAAGACTTGGTCCAGGGCCTGAGCCAGGGACACAATCTGTTCCCGTGGGACCGCAGAGGGTCCAACCAGGGAAAGGAGCCAAAGCGAAGAGCCGCAGGAGGGTGTGCAGCGCAGCATCGCCAGGTGCTGCCGCAAGCGTGAGTCTCAGAGAACTGACCACTGCACTTGGCCACGTGGCCGCCGCCAGCGGCCTTGAGAACGCGTTGCAGCGGCTTGGCGGCGGGAAACGCTCCGCTGGTCTGTTGTAGGAAGAATGGCAGTGACTCTGCAGCTCGCGTTCGTTGGTGGCAACACGGGAGGCGGAACTGAAGCGGAAGTACAAACCGGGAACTGGGGGTGGGGGTTGCAGGCTGAGGGCTGGGTCCGAGCACGTTCCGCTCAAGGCTTCGGAAACCCACCGCAGGTGCGCCCCGAAGAGACAGACCCCTTCTCCCCCGTCCCCGCCCCCTCCGCG